GAATGAGAAGAAATGCCAAATTTATTATTAAACACTAATAATAATATCCATATGCTAATATATTATGACATACACATAATAGATAAATTCTCACTAAATTATGCCAAAATTGGCACAAGAAGAAATAGAAAACCTGAACAGGCCAATCACTGTGAAAGAGATTAAAACAGCAAAGACTTCAGCTCCTGGAAACTGCCTTTCTTTTTCTCTTTCTTTCTTTCCTTTCCTTTTCTTTCTTTTTTTTTTTTTTTTTAATGTATTTAGTACAGGGTCTACAGGGTCTCACTACACAAATCAGACTCATAGTGATCCTTCCTGTTTTTCAGCCTCCCAAGCACTGGAATTACACGTGCATGCTACCACACCCAGTCTCATTTGCTGTCTCAGAGTGCCCCTGGGTAGGGCCAGCACAGGTGCATTAATCTGCTGAGCTATCTGGCTGGCCCTTGAAACTGCTTTTTACCAAATGCTAAGGGACAGTTAATTCCCATTCTACACAAACTGTTCCAGAAAAATACGGGCCAATCAAAAACTGATGAGAACATTTCCGAAGCCATTAAGATACAGACTCTAATTATCTGGTGACAATGAAATTTAAGATTCATTTTAACATGATACAAAAATTCTATACTACACAGTATCAGAAAGAACCCAATAATGTATTTTAGAAATGCTGACACATCAGAATTAAGTAGGATGTACCTTAGGAATTCAAGGATGGTTCAACATGTATCTCTGAACTGTAAACTTAAGATTACACAGTAGAAGATATTGAGTACTACCAATACAAAATTTTTTTAAGTCATCAAGTATGTAGTTCATATCATTTTATCACATCAGCATTAAAGGTTGTTGGTTCAGGGACAGACACCATCAAAAAAGACATATGCCTAAATGACAGGATGGGAGAAGGTATTTGTAATGAGTCAGTTAAAAAGGGGTTGGTACAGAGCAAAGAGAAATTAATCGAAATCAACAGAACAGGAACTCTGACAGGACAATGTGCAAAGGCTATGACAAGGTGACTGACAGAACTTCTCCAGACTGCAAAAACTAGAAAGCTAGATCTCCCCTACTATTGGCAGGGATGAGGAGGTATAAGAAGCTAGTGGAGTACAGCCAGGAAAGCATGAGGCTTCGATAAAGTTATAGTTAATAAAGAACTATTCATCTGTTCTGCATGTCTTTTATGCCTGCATTTCTGTTTCACACTTCATAGGGATGAGTGGTCAGTGTGTCAAGGATTGGGGACATGATATTAAAAGCTCTGACTTCTAGCTCTTTCTGATATGACCGCACTGTCCACCAGTGTTAAAGATGGGGATGCCAAATACTCCCATTTAATCCTTCTGCTTAATGTAAGTCTGAGCAAAACTTTACTTTAATTAGCTCTGTAAAGACTGACATAAAACACTGTCCTAAAGTTGTGGTTGATGGGAAATTGCTACTTAATTTTTAGTATTTTAAACAATATTACTAAAAATAAATAAAGCAAACATTACCATCCCCAAGCTGTCCTAATGATCATTATATAGAGTGGAAAGCAGGCAAAAGAAGAAATTTAACTCTGAGAAGGAAGAATGGAGTTGGGTATAGTGCAGCATGCCTGTAATTCCAGCACTCAGGAGTCTGAGGCAGGAGGATCACTGTTAGAACAGCCTGGGCTGCAAAGTGAGCTCAAGGCCAGCCTGAACTGCATAGTGAGACCCTGTCTCAAAAAGACGACAAAGACAGAGACAGGCTGTCAGATAGTCTTCTGACAGAGAAGGGATTCTTGGTTTCAGTAACCCAAAGTGTCACATAGGAATAATCATAGAGGCTTGTTTTTCTCAGCCAAAGGGGAGGAAGGAAAGAGAACTGAAGGAAACTGAGGCTCGAACAAGGCTTGTCTTAGGAGGAGGTCAGTCCAGTGGTAAGTCAGGCAGGCCCTAGGAAGAGCACAGATCAACTGATTCAGATCTCAGGAGGATGAAAGATGATGCCACAGGGGGTCTCCTCCTCAGAAAACCAGAAGTTGGCTGGAGGAGAAAAGTGAAAGGTCACTGACTACACTTCAAAGCCATGTGCACTCCTCAGGTATCAGCAGAAGCTTGTCTTCAGGCTGAGTTGTCACCCATCTCTACAAAAAACGGCATGTCAGTATACTAAAAGTTTCAAGCTGTGGGATTAGACCTTCAAGAAGGGCCCCAATCTTTGGCTCAGTGTCTCTCAGGGGCCGGGAGTGATACACATCTCATGCTATCTCCTTAGAAGAATGGATCTGAGATGCACAGAAAGTTTTTCTTACTGCAATGCTTGATGATTTTGTAGACAACTGGGGCTGAGTGCTCACTTACCAGAAAAACTGATGCTTATCATAAAGATACAAATGTTTCTTGGCCAAACAGAGAGAAACTGCGCACACACACATGTAATACGAAATATTTGTTTTGGGTAAAGAAACACAGTATTAAAACAGAAAAACTAACACAAGCATAAAGTAGGATTAATAATGCATTTGCAAGTACAATACAAAGCAGAGAATCTTTCTAGAAGTCTTAGGAAAAGTTTATGGTGTTCTTAAGGTTATGGTTTGTTTCAATAACAAATTTCAAAACCTTAAATGGTGCAAAAAGTACTAACATCTTAACTGTAACCAGATTTTACATTATCCTGAGCAAGAGAAGCTGGTTAAAATACCCTTACAAATGCTGTGATTTTTTTTTAAAGAGCAAATTGCAATTTTCCTAAATATCAAGAGGGCAAGAAATGAGAAACAGCCGTGTGGTTTCCCAAGCTCTCTATTTAGAGGCTAGCAGGAAAGAGAGATCGGTACCAGACACTGAGGAAAGGGCTAAGGTTGTTCTCTCAGTCAGGGCTACTCAGGAAGCAACAGGAGTAACAGTGGGCTATCAAGAACACAAAAAGAGTAAGGGAAAAGCATACACACGTGGACCTGCGAGTACTGAGTGACATTTGCTGTGAAACACAGGGAGGGGAATTATAACAGATGACATACCAAGAGGCACTCCGGCCACCAGGCCTCAAACATCAAAGCGAACTGTACGCACCCAATCCAGCCATTAATTCTGCTACTGCTTTGGCCTATAAGTACTTCCTTGCCCTTGCATTTGTATCAGCTCAGGAAAGACTGAAGTGTCTTCTCCACTCAGTGTGCAGCAGGGGAAAGCAGGGTGCTGAGATCAGCCAAGCCTAACCACAGAACCGGGTTTCTACAAACTAGCTTTGAGCCAAATGCTCGATACACTTTGAAGTTTCCCACTAGCTGGCTCTGTCCTGGGAACACCTCTCATCTTGATGATCTTGACGAACAGTCTGGCTATTAAGGTCTTGGTTATTTCCCTCTCCTCCAGTTCTGATGCTGCTATGAAATAACATGTACTTTAAGAAGAGTCATTGGGCTGGGGAGATAGCTCGCTGACCTAAGTGCCTGCCTGGCAAACACAAGAACCCAGGTTCAATCCCCAGTACCATATGCCATGCCGGCCTCGGAACCCCAGGCACACCGTGCTAGCCACCAAAACCAGGCATGGTGATGCACACCTATAATCCCAGTGCTGGGGAGGCTGACACAGGAGGATCACTATGAGTACAAGCTGCATAGTAACACCCTGTACTAAATAAATAAAAGATTTTTTTATATTTTTTTAAAGAAATAAAAATTAAAAAAGAGTCACAACATTCAACTGTTTTTAAAGAAAAAGAAACATAAACAGAAGAAAATTTCAAGGAACTTTCAAATTTTAGGTTGCTTCCAAATATAATAGGCTGAGCCCGAACTGTGAAACCACTAGCTATCAGGGTTTTTTGTTTGTTTGGTTGGTTGGTTGGTTGGTTTTTTGGTGGGGGCAGAACTGGTGGTTGAACTCAGGCCCTTGCGCTTGCCAGGCAAGTGCTTATTCTCCTGAGCCATCTCCCCAGCCCCACCACTAGCTATCAAAGCATACTACAAAATTTAAAAAATTGGGTATCTTCAGGTGGCAAACATGGGAGCATAGCAGTAAAAGAGGAAATGGTTGCCTCTTCATTCAAACAATTCATTCTGAAGGAGAGCACTTGCCACCTAAGGGACACATGCTTTCAGAGCATGCTTTCTGGCCCAGGTCACAGAGCAAGGGAGAAAACCAGGTAATCCTCCTGCAGTCAGTTCCTGAAATCACCTCCAGCTTTCTTCAGGATGCAGGGAGCTATGCTCACCAGTTCCTATCACAGTCATCTGAGGGACATCCTGTAGTAATCTCCCGGCATGTCTTCTAGCCTTTCAAGGGGACTGTGCCAGAAACTTCTTCTGATAACAAAGCTAATTATCTAGTCTGCCTAGCTAGGTCAGTGCTGCTCAAGCTTCTCTGCTCTAGAATATACACCAAAGCCTGTTTGCCTGGAAAATATACTCCCTATGCTTAGCCCTCTTAGAAACTGGCAAGTGAAACACTCAACTTGTAAATGTTCCTTGCCCTTATGTTCCTTACAGTGTGGTCAGGTAGGGCTTTGGGCATGGACCTTCACCCATGTGTTTATAATTACTCTTTCCTGCAGGACTTAATGTCAATCACAGAAACCAGACAGGCTCTTTCAAAGGCTTGGAATCAAAATCCTTCCCAAAGATAATCTACTTACAAAACTTACGGTGATACATATGCACAATGACAGAAATTTTTTTTTCAATGCTGAATTAAAACAAAACCAAGAGCAAAATAAAGTATTTTTGTGTATGATTTTAAAGGCTGATTTAATTCTGGTCATATCACCCACATAGTGAGACTGGTATAATCACTGAAAATGTCAAGGCTAACTATGGACATAACACAAAGCCTATGAGGAACATGGTGACAGCAACTCCTGTCCACACAAACCACTGGGCAATGCTTCTGCCCCTTCTTGGAACCAACAGCAGAAGACCAACAACAAGCCCCCTCCTAAAAGCTGCCACAGGTCAGACACAGGGAACATACCATCACTTACTCACTAAAACAGAGCCCACATGCCAGTCCAGGACGCACCTTTATCATGAACACAAACTGAGAGCTTCTTAACGCCATCAACCAGCACATTATACGTGTTGCCATGTCCATCTTCTGAGTCGCTGTCATCATACTGAGCCTCCACAATGACATCAGGACTGTCATTATAGCCTTTCAAGGACTGCTGCAGGAGGTGGTGCCCACAGAGCTCCTCGGGGAGCTCAGATTCATAGGCAGCTTCTGCTTCTTTGTCATTGCTCTCTGGTTTAATTACCTGAAGAAAAGATAGAAAAATTCTGCTAAGTCACTGGCAGGGGTAGGGAGACGGGGGAGAGGGGAGAACACAGTAGATTGTAAAGAGTAGATTTTTTTTCCTAAGGAAAACTATACAGTCAAAAGCTGACAGCATTAGACAGTCACCAAGCAGTTTGAAAAACGGATGTTTATTTTCCTTATGCAAAAGCTGTCTTGTTAGATATGGTGGTGCACACCTATAATCCCAATGCTTGGGAGGCTGAGGAAGGAGGATCACTGTGAGTTTTAGGCCAGTTTGGGCTACAAAGTAAGTTCAAGACCAGCCTGAACTACATGGTGAAACCCTGTGTCAAAGAAACAAACAAAACAAAACAAACCCTCAAAAAACAAAAGACAACAATGAAAACACCAGAGGCTGTCTTGAGGTAATCTAGCAATGCTTGCTTGGTTTTCCAAGATGCCCAAAATTAATGCTGTACACACATCTCATTTTTCTAAACACCAGAAGTGCCATCCTAAACAGTCCACTGCACTAGAATAAGTAGTACATTAGGCCATGACAGAAGATCCAACCACCAGGAAGCTGTGTTCCAAGTGAAACCACTAACAGAGGAAACGGAAAAGACAAAAGTGAGCACATATCAAGGGTTTTTAAATGTTCCCATAAAAATAATCAAGCCTTAGTTATCTGTTTTGAGGATGAAATCAGTAAGAACAATGCAAAAAGAAAAGAATCCAGACACTAGGCCATTTAACTGAGTGTGTCATATGACAGTCACAGACTAGCACTCCTGGACATCCTTGGGCTATGATAAAGTAAACAAGGTACTGCTTAATTACTGACAGGAAAAGAAAACCTTCAAGCCTGTGTGTATATCACCTAGCCACATGAGCAAAAATGGTGGCAGCAGACTTTAAAAGGTTCCAGATATTACTTAGAACATCACACCCTCAAGGATCTTATTTCAGAATGAGAAGTCTTTACACAATTTAAACACAAAATTAAATGGTCATATATGTGCACATATGAACTTAAAAAAAATTGGCCATTATATGTAGGGGATTCCTTTCATTCATTCATTCTTTTTTTTTTTTTTTTTTTTTTTTTTTTTTTTTTTTTTTTCTTGTGGAACCAGGGATTGAACTCAGGCCTTGCACGTACCAGGCAAGCGCTTATTCTACTGAGCCATCTCCCCGGCCCTTATTCTTTCACATGAGTGCTGAAAGGCACAACTCACACCAAGGACCCTTGAGAGGCTTCCATCCTAGTGCGGTGACAGATGGGGACATTTACCTACTCCTGGCAGGTACAGGCACCAAGAACAGAGCAGTGAATGTACAGAGGCTTCTAGCACTGTGTGCAAGTACGATGTCAAGTGAATGCACCAGCTAGTAGGATGCGAGACAGGGAAGGAAGCACAGGCTCGCTCACAGCAGGATGATGGAGGGCGGGTGGGGGAGGCGATGTCTGCACGGAGACCAGAATGAAGTAGCGGTTTCTCTCCCAGTCCTTCCTTCTGCTTTTATCTGACAGGGCTAAAACTTTTCTGGTTTGATCTAGAGGGTTCAAAATAGACACCTACCATAGCAAACTTACGGTCCAACTAGATCATGCAAAGAGCACACTTAAGGAAAGACCCACTCCTCACACGAAGGATTAAAAGTTAATAAATCTCCCTCCAAATTGTAATGTCATAGGTTCCAATTAATATAGCCATCCCTAGCTAATGATTATTATAGCACCCACTTAGAAAACCAGTGTAAGATTGCAGAGAAATCTTCAGTCTGAATGAAGACTGAGAACATAACCCCAAAGTTTTGAAAATGTTGACTTAATAAAAATATAACAACAGAAAAGCATGTAAATGATGGTTAATTTTTCTAACCAAAATTGTGCCTTTTGATAAAACATTTTAAATACCTGGTTCCCAATCTCTTAAAAAAGTACTTAGTGGAAGTCTCTTTGAATTTCTATTTTGACTTTTGCCAAATTCATTCATTCGTTCATTCATTCATTCATTCACTCACTCACTCACTGTTTCCACCAAAAGTTTAGAAATAGAGTTCCTCTTTTTTCTCATACTGGGGATCCACCTCAGGACCTTGTACTTGCTAGGCAGGCACTTATGAGAGTTCCTTTTCTTTTTGAGATGGTCTCTCTATGCAGTTTGGGCTGGCCTTGTGCTCACTTTTGTAGCCCACAGGCTGGTCCTGAACTCAAAGGGATCCTCCTCTCTCAATCTTCCAAGTGCTAGGATTACAGCCATGCACCACCACACCCAGGGTTCCAGACCAGGGATTGAACTCAGGTCCTTGTGTTTACCAGGTAGGTAAGTGCTTATGCCTCTGAGTATCTCCCCAACCCCAAGAGTTCCTTTTCTTTAACAATAATAATTTTTTAAAAAGAACTGACTAGGCTCCTAGTCTCCAAAACCAGATCCTCAGGCCTCTCCTGATGTGAGCACCCATGGGTGGCACCACAGCTCCAACACGTGTTGGTGCACCATCAGCTCTCCACTCCATATTTGCACTTTGTCACACAAGTAGTCCTGTGTTCAGATATGACCTAAGTAGATCAGAAAGCAACATCAGTCAAATCAGTAAACCACTCAACTTGCTTGAATGGGCCTGGATACTTAGCAACATCCGCCCTTGAGTACCTTCAAGGAGTTAATATCACCGTGGCATTATCAGATCAGCTAAACACAACAGGAAGTACATGTGCAGACTACACATCTAGTGTAGCTGAAGCCAGGTGGCTACAACCTTATCACTGGGTGAACATGTTTTCCATTTATCTTTCCCACAAGTGCTCAGGGAGGAGGAAGGCAGTTTTAAAAAATGACATGTTAGAATTAAAATAATAGATAAAATGCATTCTTTGTACTCTTTGATATTATGCAAAGGGCCCAGGCCTCCAATTTCTGTTAGGTGTTTATTTCTGTCTCTAAGGGTTTCATAAAGCAGCTGGACCCCACAGGTTACTGAGAAAACATCACATGGGAAGTAGACCTCTGCCTTTGTAAATTAAGGAGTTGTATATATACGGGGATACCAAGGTTTGCCTGCCTACCTGCTGCCTGCTCATCAAGAGTTATTCTTAGTGCTGAGGGTATGGTTCAGTGGGAAAGCACTTGCTCACCATGTATGAGGCCCTGTGCTCAACCCTCTGCAAGAGTGAGGATGTTAAGATGCCTTTAAAAATGGCTAGTTCTAAAGGGAAACCCATCAGAATAACAGCAGACTTCTCTTCACAAACCATCAAGTCAAGAGGAGCATGGAGCAAAGTACTTCAAGGCTTGCAAGGAAAGAAATTACAACTTAGACTGATATATCCTGCAAAACTCTCTTTCAAGTATAATGGAGAAGTGAAATACTTCCATGACAAAGAACAACTAAAGACTTTCATGATGACAAAGCGAAGCCTACACAGACTACTAAATGATGTTATAGAGAGGGGGCAAATTGATCACAGCCCCATGAATGAGAATAGAAGGAACCCACCAAATAGGGCAAACAATTAAACACAGGAGAATAAGGGTAGTGGACATCAAACTCAGGACCATGCATTTGCCAGGGAGACACTTATGCCACTGAACTATATCCCCAGCTCCAGATAATGCAATGTCTAGAACTCAGTGAAACTTTAAAATTGGATTTGACTAAGTTTACTTGCTTTCTGTGTGTTATATTTCTAAACAAATCTAATAAGAATTAAATGGAGTTGGGAGAAGCAAAAAAAAAAAAAAAAAAAAAAGGCTAGTTCAGGGGTACACTAGGACTGTCTCATCATACTAGGACAACCAGGAAGCTGTCTAAGGCTTCTAGTATCTTTTCTAAAGGACTTGGGAACTATCATGAAGGCGCTCTCTCTAGTCAACCCTGGAGATTTCTAGCATTAATCCTACATTCACTATATAATCTGTACCTCCAGGTAAGCAAATAGCCGATTCTTCTTTGTAGAAGTGTTTCAGCTAATTAAATGAAGAAATAAAAGACTTTCTATCTCACTGTTTTGCCATTCCTGCTGAAATAATGAGTTCAGGAAATTATCACCAATGGATGTTAAAATCACTAAGACATAAAATGACTGGTAAGGAGTTTTACAATAGGAAAACCAGATTAGCAATATCCAAGTCCACTGATGAACAAAAATATCAGAAAGAGAGAAGGAACTAAAGTGTTGGTTTTGACAGTTTGTGACATGGCCAAGGACCACAGGAGAGCTCTCTATTGCTGGGGGAGGTGTAGGCATTCTTGGCGGGTGGGTCCGCTTCCTCTTCACCATCACAGGCTCCTGGCTGCACAGGATGGTGCTGGCTCTGTGGATGGCAGCCATGCACAGGTCTGGATGGTACTTGTTCTTTCACATCATGCAGTGGATGCTGCTCAGTGTGGCAAGTGGGTTCTTGTTGATGGTAGTGTGCACATAGGAGGTGGCTGGCTACCACTGTCTCGAACTCCCCTTCATGACCACCACAACCCCCTTGCCATTGGCCACAGGCTCCCCGCACACCCACTGTCCTGCAGTGAATCAGCCCATTGTAGTGAAAAGAGTTGTTTCTTAAGTCACCATGGTAAGAAGAACATAAAACCTAGGAAGTTTCAGCCTGCCCCTGCCCCATGTCTGCCACTGAACCTAAGTCTGATCCGACTCAGGGAATAGAGAAGATGGAGGAACACATTAACACTACCATGTGGCATTCAATACATTCCCAATGTGGGAAATCCTACAAGACAAATGATCCAGTTTTGCCAATAAATAAACTGCAATGAAGAAAAATGGTGAGCCTATAAATTAAAATACCTGTCACATACAACCAAAGACAGTATTTGGCTCCTGTCTCAAACTGTATCCAAAAGTGAGGGTAAGTAGAGAAAATCAGAACAATCTGAATACTGATTAGGTAATGAATGTCATTAATGAACTGTGATCATCTTTTTAAGATTGCTCATGTTGGGACATACTTGAAGTATTTATGGATGAAATGATGGCTTTATCAACACTCATGAGTGACT